TTCTCGGAATGCTTCGTTTTCATGAAAAAATGTGTTTTGCACTACCAAATGAAATAAATGTATGATAATAAAGAAGATACTATACCAGAAAATGCCTGCTTGTATGGTTTCATTTCCTTAAATAACAGCAAAGAACGGTTTCGATAAAAATGTCTGAAACGCTAACGATGATTCTTTCTTCGTAAAACGCATAAGATTGCTTAAATCGAATGCCCTTCATATTACTAAAATTATAAAACTAAAAAATAATTCTCTTCTACAATTAGAATAGCTATAAATTTATGTATATGCGCATGTAGATACTACCATTACAAAATATCGAAATTTTATAATAATAATAATGAAACCTCTTTCATTTTTAATGCACACTTATTTTGACTTAAAATCAGTAACAGAAAACATATTTAACTGAATAAAACTTCCCAGCTAGCTGAATAAGTTTATAATAATAATAATAATAGATTAGTTTAATGATTATTTTTATAAAACTTCACTGTTTTTACAGATTCGGGGCCGCAGGCAAAAATGTTAGCAAGATCTATTTTTACTATTTTTGGGTCTGAGAATAATAGAGGACATAGATTACTGCACCAATTTTGTGATGATTGTTTTTTAAGAATACAAAATTTCAGGCTTGAATAATAAATATCCGCAACAGTGTTTTATTTCAGATGGAGACCACCGGAGTTCACTTTTCGTACGTTTTAATCCCGGGAGGAAGCAAAGCAGCTCTTATTTCAAACAAGTATCAATACTACACTAGAAGAGAAACAGTATCAATACTGTCTGACAAATGGCAAGACTTTGCCCAAACGGCCTGCGCAGTAAAAGCATCAACTAGGGAAATGCAAGTCCTATAAAAATTTTCGCTCACGATGAATACATAAATCTTTTTAAAAAGAATTAACGTGGCAATAACATATCGTGTCAGTTATCCTAACCTGAAAACAAAAAAGTTGCCAACGGGAGCTATTCATTCAAAATGTTGACATTAGCGAAAAATGTTCGACATACAAAGACGCCACATGCAATTGCTTACTTTCATATAATAATATATTTAATGTTTGGCAATGTTATTTTTATTTCATATTTTGTAAAATTTACAAAAAATTTTATTAACATACTCTACAATTTAAAAGCCCACAGTGGAAACACGTTTTCGAAATAAAGCATTCTTATATCCAGACTGTTGCCGTTTGGAGAAATGAGCACGAAAATTAGCGTTTTCTGAGTTTTTAATTAATATTTCGGCTGGTTAACGACGTACGAAGATGAGAATGGTCGAAATGGCTTCTTACGAACTTACAGATTTTAATAGCATAGAATGCTGCCATGCTTAGTAGCATAGAATGCTGTTTCCAGCTGCCTTCGATTAATGTTAAAGTATATTTAGAAAAATACCAAGATTTGGTGGTGAAATTATTATTGTGCAACAACAAACCTAAACAATAGTTTTTATCGAGACTTCTTAAACACAATTCGAAAAAGTAATTAAAAATTTTCTGTCCCTCCTGCTTTAAAAAAAAAAAAAAAAAAAAAAAAAAAAAAAGAGAGAGAGAGAGAGATGCAGTGCGAGACACCATACAAAGGCTACAGAGATATGGCTTCATGCAATGAAAGTACTACGGTTTAAGCACTCATTCTGCAGATTTTCCTTTGTTTTCACTCTCGCGTAACGACATCAAATATTCGTCTTGGTCGTGACCTTGTAACGAAAACCTTCGCAATGTCTCGGCGTGGTCGCCAAGGTTGCACTTTTACAGTGATCGAACCTTGTGTCACTTCACAATATGTTAATGATGAATTATGGATGTGGAAGTGCACGGAGGACGTACGACTGGTGACGAGGATCAGTAAACATTCGCGAAGTATTAATATGAAAAGCAAGTATGTCGAGGTTATGCGAGGTTTAAAAAACATCAATACCAAAATAACCCCTAAATTCTCTCGATGAATAAAGCACTACACGAGTAAAGCAAACGAAATAACAGTAAACACACTTTCAAGCACTTTCTGAAGAAAAGTTTGCAGAGAACATGGGCGCCCGCTTCAGGATATTTCCTGGGAAAAACTATGGATTTTGTAAACATAACTGACATGAATTTTGTTAGTGTATTCTAAATGTTCACGTAGATGCTTTTGACGATTTCTTGCTCTTTAGATATACGTTTCTGGAAATTCGCGAAATCCACAAAAAGATCGGTTTGTGAAAAATATTTCTGAACTTCTACACTAGCTGGATTTTATACTTGGAACATAGACAGAGAAATTAGATCATTTGAAGAATTTAAATGGGATCCCACTTTGAAAATACTCTAGAATGATAACGCGTGAAGGAAATCTTAATTTTCGAAGCAAAATATTTTGGCAGAAAATTATTTGATAACATGTATTTCATTTTTAATGAAATAGTATATTTAGAAAATTATGATATGTCTAGAAAATTAAAAAAATTGAATAGTACAGAATTGGGCGAAAGAGAGCAAGAATTTATCCATAACCAGTACTATCATGTTTATTTGGTATTTACATATTAACGCAACTACTTTGGTGCAATTTGGCAATTTTATAAAATGATGAAAAGGTAAAAGTTAGATTAGAAGAGAAATCCAATCCAGTCCTTCCTAATGCATTTAAAATTTTACTATCTTAATTGAGTTATTTTTGTCGATAGATGGCGTTACCTCCTTGCGTTTGGTACTACCAGAGGGTATAAAAATCCGTTCAGTGGTTGCTTTCCATTATTTGAAGTTCAGATTTTGAGCGCAAGGTGCATTTGCCCCTCGCTCCCTATTTTAACTTCGCTAATTTTTCATGCTCGATCAGATAGCCTGTCTCAGTAAAAGTAGGCGGCCAATGCAACTCTGATTAAAAATCTAGTTATAACCACGTGCAGTGCTGATAAGGACCACATGTTTCTGTGACTCCTTCTCCTTTATTTTCTTCTTTCTAGGTATTTCTTTCTTCTGATGAGGAGGGACCTTTAGCTGCCCTCGAAATCGATTGAGTGTTTCATTATACCTACGCTAAATACAAGATTGTTTTTACGATTTTGAAGGTAAAAGTTACTTATCGGATGCAAGTTGGCGGTTTTCGTGCATTTTTTAGAAAGATTCCCAAACTATCGATATTTATCCTAAGTCGGGTAAACATTCTCATCCTATGAAAAGAAAACATACTTCAACGTGATACATTAAAAAAAAAAGTAAAACATTTACAGTCTTCTTCAAATCTTTCTGTAATTTTTTTGCTTTTTTTTTTTTTCCTTTCCCTATTCTTCTCTCGAAGTGCACAGCGATCTGTTTTCGCTTAAGAAATCATCACAGAATTGCAGAGAAACGCATTTCCTCGTTGTTCCCTTTAGAAAATTTTCAGCAAAATTATGTAATCGTGTAAAAATATTACTGTAGTTTCTTCCATTGCTACAAACTCACAAGCTCATATTTTAAAACTAAGTTTAAGCCCAAAAATATCACGATTTGTTTATAAAAGCCGTTGGAACTTGGAATACAACAATAAAGAACGCATACGAAAATGGCAGCGTTGCTTGACTGAAGTCAGTAATGAGCATGGTTGACGGAGTTTGGTACATTCTGTAAATTTGGCGACTTCTACTAAGGTAGTTGCCTTAATACATAAGTACCGTTTATTTCAAATCCGTAATATTAATATATGAATTTCACTTATTGGAAACATCTGCAGCAATACTGCAACACAGCATATATATTTCGATAATAAACACATTGTAATCGTTTATGGTGATAACTTCTAAAACTGGACAATATGTCTGAGACCTTAACCACTTAAGGGTCTTTTCCGAAGGTGGGCCCCTTGGAGAATAAGACCACATGGTCATATTCTCCAAGGGGCCCACCTTCGGAAAAGACCCTTTGGAATCTGTTTCAAGAGTTTTACATTAACATGTAAGCAACTAGAAAAACTCAATTAAAGTGTATTAGTTGTTAAAAAGAGTTCGATAATGTTTCAAAGTTTCCATCCCCAAGTTGCCAAAGTTAGCTTGCTCCCACATTGGTTTCACAAACAACGGTCACATTTTAAACCAGAAGTTGGGCAATTGACTATAACTGAAGAAAATAATTCTACCAAGCACAATTGTAGAAAATAAATCTCGTTTTAATTTAATATAGTTATTGAATATCTGAAACAATTTTGGGGAATTGTTAATATTTATAGAAAAAAATAATAATAATTTCAAGAAAAATAATTTGGCTTTCACTAGAACAGGCTGGAAAAGTTACTAAAAAAAATGTAGAGAAACTACTTTTACTCGTTTCACGCCTCCTTTAAATTTTCTATGATAGAAATTTTGAAATACCATATATTTTTATCTCATTTCTTTTCCATATCAAGTGAAACATATTCAGGACATCTTGGCAAAGGCTCTTTACTATGGTACAAATCTCAGTATATGTCGAAAAAAAATACTATTTCTTATAAAGAAGACCCCCACCCTGCCTTAAGAATAAGATTAATGAAATGAACAAAATAGAGACCAAAGTCAATAACAGCACTAAAGACTGAACGATTTTAATATCTGGAATATTACTTGAATTTTGGATGCTCAGGTTTTTGTTTTCTCTTTCCAAGGAAAGTAAAACATATATTTAGTGGTTTTTCTGAATGTTAAAAGAAAATTACATGAACAACAGAATTTTTCCCGATACTGTAAACAAATGCCGACACTCATCTTCTTTGGGGTTATCGCTAGAATTACTGAAACTAAAAAGCATCACAGAAATAAGAAAAGTCTTATCGTTTCTTTTCACACCTTCCATGAGAAGTACTGAGGCCGGGCTTTGGTCGGCTTCGGTTCAATTTAAGACCCGATGGGCAGACTCTCAAATAAGGCGAGTTTTGTTACGTTACCGAAAGCTCCTAGTCAGCAGCGGAGCTCTAAAATGGTAGTAAGTATTAATCGGCTGTTGCTACTATTTAAAACTGATTTTATTCGTTATGACTAAACAATATATCATCCTTACCTTTCATGTAATATGGCTGCAATATCTTTGGTGAAATCTTGGCCTTCTTTGATGGACTTTCGAAGCTCTTCAAAACCATTTGGACCCTGCACAAAGAAAGAAAAAAATAAGTTTGCCTGCCAAAAATAAAGTAATTGACTTTCAAAGAAGAGGATATTTAATAACAAATGTAGTGGGTTCATGCAGGAAAGCTATCTTCTTCGTCGATTCAATTCTAAAAATTTCTTTTGAGTAAAACTGAAAATGTCTCTCTTTGCGTATAAGGGAAGATTAGAGTCGAAACAAGAAAAAAGACTGTTAAGCTTGTTTTGTCATTGATGTGTTAGTATAGTCTCGCCGTAATTCTGAACCATTATGTAATATTACGTTACCATGTACTTTTTGTTCACGCGACTTGTTAGGCGTTGTCATTACGCCAAGAATAAGAGCTTCAATTTATCTTCCATAGCTGCTCCTCAAAAAAGTACTGTTATTCGGCGTAATGTTAAGATCTTTAATTTATCTTTGAAATATTAACAGTTTAACAAATTAAGTGGTTTGAAAGCAATAAATGCACTTTTTATTACAAATTTAAATCTTCATTTTATCTTTTAATAATATACTTAATTGAAGTAATTTCAAGTAAGTTTAATCTATAATGTATTCAATCCATACTTAAAAAATATTTGCGGCTTTGTTGTCATAAATAAATGCTGCTTCTTAGCCCATTTATTACATAACTCAGCACGAAATCGTTTGGTTTCATTCCTGTGAAATATTTAGTAAAAAGATTACAGATTACATAAAAATGGAAGAGGAAATGACTTCAGAAAATGTGCCCTTCCAACTTACTAGCTACAGCGGCATGCATGACTTCCCAATTTTAGTTCCCTAAACATGAACTTTCTTTAAAAGAATATTTTAACCTCTGATAAAATTGGATATGGAAAAATATCCTATATCAAGTACTATTAGAAATAAGCGTAATACAGTACCATTTTCTAATATTTCTGAATTAATAACATTATTTATGAATATTATGAATATTGATTAAAAGAAAAGCTAATCAGTTACATAAAATTCTCATAAAAGAGTCCGTTTCTTATGAACATACATGAAAATGTTTAAATTAACCCCTAAAAATTGACATATTTAAAAAACAAGTAACAAGAAATTTTCTCTTTACGTTTCTTCTTTACGTTTGGTCTTGATTTCACTTAGCTTTAAATTAAAATGAACTTTTAATTTTGTTCTGTATTTATTTTTCAAATATAACGTGGAAGAAAAGTCCTTGTTCACGCAAACAGATTGTGCAAAAAGGCAATAAAAATTTGATAGCTTTATTTGAAATGCCTTTAAATTCTTTCTTTTCGGTTCAACCAAAAGTTAACAAGCGTGCTATTTTTGAAATCTTTAGTTAGAGTTCGATAACAGTAAATTTACATCAATTGTTCTTTTTCTTCAGGAGATTTTTGAATTTAATTGTTAAAAATTCTTTGTTTCTTTGCGGATCACCTATTTTTCTCTTGCCTACCACCAGTGGTACGCGTACGACCGGTTGAGAATCCCTCCTATAAAGGGTTCATACCAGTTTAAAAACTCAAAATCCGCGACCATACCAGTTAAAAGTTCAAAAACTTAAAAAGCCACATTTTGTATATAGTATTCAAAAAGACGGATGCTATTTAGAAGCTGATCTGCGCTAGTGGCCAGCTGGAGCCTGGTCCTGCAATAAGTAGGAAAGATGCAAAGTTCGACACCCTCATTACATTTTTTTTTAAAAAATCAGCTTTCCATTCTTCCGCGTCTCCGTTAATTGGGTTAAATGATTAAACTTTCACACACATTTTAACTATTCTTTTTCTACAATAGCAACTCAGTTAGTTAATCAAAATCGATTTAAAAATTCTGATGTGGACAACACACATGACTTCCTTGTACGGCCTATTAAATTACACGCATTTTTTGTTGTACTTCAGTTAATCTTATATCTTCGAATTATTCTAACGTTACTAACCGAACTTACAAGGCAAGTTGTAAACGATATAAAAAATTGCAAATTTTGAAATTAAATATCTCGTTCAATTTTTTGTCGTACGGGAGCCAAACTTCTTATAATTTTATTTTTTCATAGCCACTATAAAACTTTTCCAAATATAAGTATAGGAAACAGGAGATTGAATTAAAAGCTAGATTTCGTTATTTATCGGAAATTAATTTTTTTTTAAAATTTGATATTACCAGAATATGAATATGTTTGTCATCTGAAATATTTTTACAAGTGGAAGTACATGATTACGGCCACCAATGATTGCCAAAATAAAGACTGTATAAGGACTTTTAAGCCGGGTAAGGAACGTATATATATATACACGTTCCTTACACAGAAGTTAAATATATACTTACACAGAGGAGGAAAGTAAAAATTAGCTAATGCTTTAAAGCACATTTGATACAGCAGTTCCGGAGTGAAGAAGTTACACCAAGTATAAACAAGAATACTATATTAAAGCAGTAAAAGTTAACGCGAAAAAAAACCTACTGTAATTTTTACAACAACATATACTTCAAAAACAAAAATTGATTAAGATAATTTAATTTGATAAATTTATTAAGATAATTTAACTTGATCAATTTATTAATGAATTCCGCTTTCTGTCTCAATTGCTTTCGTTTGACGAAACGCGCCAAGGAAATTAGCTAAATTCGAGTTTTCTTGTGCTTTTCGACTGATAAATCCGTAGGAAACCTCGAATTGGGCTAATTTACCCTTTTTTGCAATTTTTTGTATATAATTTCTTTGGCTCTAAAATGCTTTTGTTTGCATACATTATATTAAATTTTTGATTCTAAAAATGTTTTAGACTTTACTTAATCCATTTTTGTTCTGTCGGGCTGAGAGTGCCCGACAGAAACAAGAGAAATCCTGTCGCTGCAATATTTCATCGATGGCATCCGGATTACTGAAATACAGAAAGCTCTGCGAATGTCAGATGTGAAGGACATAAAAAAATGCTCTGTTGTACGCCGTAAAAGTCGAGGCAGCCCAGCAAGCAACACGTAGAGATCGCTACCCAGTCAGAGCTGTGCGAGTCCACGAGCCAGTGGATCAATTGATGGCTCGTTTAGATGATTTATCCAGACAAGTCGATGCTTTGATACGGAGTAGCAGTGAGAACAAAGTGGCCGTAAGGTGTTGGAGATGTGGTTCTGAAGGTCACCTACGACGGCATTGCAGAACACCGCAGGGCGGATAATAAAACGGATGAGTTGACAAGACCAGTGAATGCTTTAAGACGGAAGAGTGGTGAAAAGAAACCGAATGTTGTTGTAAAAATTACAGTGCTGGAACTGTGGAGCTGAAGGCCATGTACGAAAGAATTGCAGAACACCCCAGGGTACGAAAATTGAGACAATTTCTCAGCAACGACGCAGGAAACAAATTAATGACCATATTAAGGAACGGAGGTTGCCAGATAATGAAAAACCTTGTTTTAAAGCGCTCAAGATTTCTATAGTGAGTGGCAGCAGTAACGGAATATCCATCAACGGGCATATCGATGGAGTTCCTTGCAATATGATCATTGACACAGGAGCTAATGTTACCATCATTAGAAAAGATTTAGCTGAACCGTTTAAAGATAAACTTATTTGGACGCCCTCCTGTGTTACCCTTCAGACTGCGTCTGGTGATAAGATCGATATAGTTGGGAAGTTAAACCTGAACATCACGTTTGGAAGTGCCGCCTACCATCACGCGGCATATGTGGCGGATATTACAAATCCATGTATACTCGGATTAGACTTTTTAAGGAAATATAATTTTTCCTTAGACTTCAAAAACAATAAGCTGTTCTCAGCACCTGAGAACATGACGATCCATCTTCAAAAGGGATCATCGCTTGGAAACGCCGACGTCTCATGTGAAAGACCCTACTCAGAAAGCTGCCGAAATCATACTAGGGTCGGAGAGAAACACCAGAATACCACCTATTCTCCATCGCAGATGCTCTTCGGTCGAGACCTTCGTCTGCCTTGTGACCGCCTGTTTGATCGCCATACGGATGCGCCTTCATCGCCTGAGGAACACATCCAAGATGTCAAGGCCCGTTTTGAAGTGATGCACCGTTGCGCACGAAAGCGAGTGAACTTGGCGACGGAGAAAGTGAAATCCAGGTACAACACGAGAGCTACTGGACATAGATCCAACAAAGGAGACAAGGTGTGGTTGTGGAACCCGATTCGACGAAAAGGAGTCAGGCCTAAATTACAGTCACCTTGGGATGGTCACTATACAGTGCTGAACGGACTAAATGACGTCGTGGTTCGGATTCGTAAGTCTTCGAACTCTGAACCTAAAGTCGTTCTTTACGACAGGTTAGGTTAGCTCATTACTATGGCCATAGTACGTAATGTAAATAATTGTAAATAGTGTAAGACCATGGTCCTTTTTGTTTCTAAATGTGTATTTAGTATTTGATTTGTATTTTGTATTTGATTTGTTTTATTTATTGCATTTATTGTTCATGTTGTTATTATTGTAATGTAATGCTTATTATTGCATTTATGCGACAGTTGTAAGGTTGGCTTCCTGTCCGGGGATTGTACTGCCCCGGACGTGCAGTCCTTGGGAAGAGGGCTGTGTTACGGATTTGGTATTTAAATAACGTATGTTAGTTGAATTGTAAATTAAATGGTTTTATTTCCCGCGCAGTGCAGCGCGTGACGAATATTAAAAGAAAGCTAAGCAGGAAATTGGAAAATACAAGAGCGCGTGCATTAAACATTTAATAAATATCTCTTTTTGATTTCGAGAAAGTACTAGAAAATTCTCGCGCGCGGTTTTAAAATCTTATAAAAGGAGGAAAACCTCTCAGTTTAAACCTTGCAGTTACTTAGTTTGTTGTTTAGAAAACTGCTCTTGTTGATTGTAGCGAATTCGCGAATTAGCTTTCTTTAGCTGTTTTTGAATTAAGTTCTATTGATCATTTGAGTAGTTAGAAGATAACTACTGTGGTATATTGTGATACTGCACGATTATTTGAGGACATTTAATCATTTTTATTGTGATAATAATAAAATTTTGTCCTTTTTCATCGGACTTGTGCATTCATTTCGTAACGAACTCGTACGCACGCAACAATATAATTATAACCCAAAAAGCATCTGGAGAATTAGAATTAATAGAGACGCAAGAAGATCAAGCTCTACAATTAAAATATAAATCGACGCCGATTACTGAATTTTGGAAATTTGTACCAGAATCGAAGTATCCTGAATTTAAAAAGGCTGCTTGTTGAATTATTTCAATATTCAGAACTACGTACTTATGTGAATCATTTTATTCCACTTTAAAATTCGTGAAATCAAACACCGATCACTATTAACTAACCAACATCTCAAAGAATTACTGAGAAATGCTGTCACCAATTTTTCACCAAATTTTAAAGAATTATCAAGAGAAGTAAAATAAATGTGTTTAATTTTTAATACATATTTTACACATAACTTTTTACACATATTTTGTACTTTCATATAATTTCTGTAAAAAAAATTTAATACCTTTTTTGCATACCTTTTAAATACGTATTTAATTGCGGCTCGCGAAAAATTTCAAATTTTGAAAAATGGCTCGGACTGTCAAGGGGTTTGGCCACCCCTGTTATATGCTATTTTATATATTATTTTACCTTTACAAATTATATGCTATTAGATTATAATTCCTTAATTATTTATGTTACATAATTGGCTCATACTAATATGTGATTAGTGTATCGTAATTTATCATAATTATAATAATAATTTTTGGAGTCATGAGTAAGCCTTAAACCACCTAGCTTGTAAGGCAAATTGCGCATGTTTTTTAACTTTAAGTGAATAGTGTATTATAATATCCCTTGCTGGGTTTTTATATGAATGCCAAAATTATGTTAGAAACCAATATCTAGCTTATTCAAAACCAGCAGACAAACCACTACCTTCAAAGCACCTGCATCACGAAGCGGAAAGAAGCCTAGAAACCGTGCAGCAAAAAGAACAACAAAACCAAATCGTCCAAGTGCTTCTATCGTGCGTCTCATCGTTTAAAGTTGTTTTCTCGAACATTAACAAGGTTTCGTGCAAAAGCTATCGTGACTCAAACAGATTTGCTTCTAAATCTGCTTGATTTTCTGTCGAATTTGCTTCTGTTATTGGTGAGTTTAAAATGTAATGCAATAGTCACAGCTCATTGCAACAAGTTACGTAAGATATAGCACTTGTTAAAAAAAATCATTACTTAGTTTGTTGTTGTTTAGAAAACTGCTCTTGTTGATTGTAGCGAATTCGCGAATTAGCTTTCTTTAGCTGTTTTTTCTAGTTTTAAAGGAAAGCATGAACGCTATAGTCGTATTCACTTAGTCGCAAACACTAAACTAAAGCCTCAAGATACATGAGCTGCTTATACAGCCACCTTTTGCTATTACATTATTTTATTTTTATTTTTCTATTTATGCTGTATGTTTTGCTAATATAATTTCAGAGAAATATTTTTAAAAATAGTTATATTCAAAAATATTTATTTTTATGTACAGAACTCCCAATTACTCGAATTTAGGACGTTAAAAACTACATTTGCCTCAATGGCATGTCCTTCTAAGTACAGCAAAATAATTTTGTTTTTAATTTTTATTTCCTTGTGCGAAAGTAAAGGCAGTGTTGTAATCGCAAAAAAACTTCGGGTATCATATTTTAACGGAAATATTCGTTTTGACCGCTCACTAATCCAATTAGATGTATTTCGCGTGACATCTGTACGTACGAATAGAATAAAGGTCACTTTTTTCCCAAAACGGATTGTAAAATGCATTTTAGATGGATTCAGAAGGGATTTTTTCATGACGCCTGTACGTACGTAGTTACATACACTAACACGCATACACATATACTAGACATACATAAGTACGTACGTACATGTATACGTGCGTAGGTATGTATCTCGCGCAACCCAAAAACAATTAGTCGTAGTACGTTGAAATTTTGTATATGGGTTTGACTAAGGCATCTAAATGTGCACCTCCCTATTTTGTTGCAATCAGCTGCACCAAACGTATATATATATATAAACCCACTTTCTTACTCGGCTCGCTGAGCTCTGTTTTTATAATTTTATATATTGGTAAAATGCGCTCTTTTTTTTTTTTTTTTTTTTTTTTTTTTTTTGGGCTTAAAAGTGATTGAATTACGTTGTTCTTATGTTCCGGCTAAGCCTTTTATGCCTTTATTTAATCGGCATGCAACAGCTGCAGAATTATCAACAGCTTAAAAGTTTAAATGGTACTAGACATAACAAGGCCACCATTTGTTTACATTTAAAACTCTTAGTAGAATAATGAATTAAAACACTTTTGTGCACCAACTTGAGTGTCTTTTTGCGAAGTGGGACCAATGTGAATTTTCATTTTTGTGCACCGAAAAATCAGTCTTCTAACGTGCTGGAGGAATTGCTTGTTTTTGCATAGACATTGTAATTTTAATTGTTAAAAAAAAAACTTTTTTAACTATATTTGGTATTTTAGTTTTTCTGTGTTTGGCAATTTTTAATGAAGGTGTTTTGAGTTTTTGCATACTTTTGCCTTGCCTCGAAGTGAGAATTGAATTGATTAAATGAGAAATACATCTTTAATGAAATTCGAAGAAATAAGTTTAAATGACGTGCAGCAAGAATGTGTATTATTTAATAGGTCGTACAAGGAAGTCATGTGGTGTCTACACAAGATTTTTTTCTTTGATTTAAGTATTGAAGAAATCTAATACAGTACAGTATATATTCTTCTTTTGATATGCTATAATTTATCCAAAGCGTGTACGATGCTTTCTGTAGACTAATGACCGCAGTATACACAACAGCCAGGAATGTTTTGCCAGTATTTTAGTTGATACCAATTTAAAATAATACTGGTCTAGTGGGTCGCACAATGTATAATTGGCAATATTTTTGGAACATAGTTTTCAATAATAAACAATGGAGATTTCAAAATACTCAAATTATCTTTATAAACAGGCCTGAAAGAAAGAAAAAGAGAGAGAGAGAGAAAGAAAAGAAAATAAGAAAAAGAAAAGACAATTATAAAAGTTAATGAGAATACTATGAGCCCACATTAAAAGTAATAACGTTACCAAAGTCAGCCGTATGCTAAAACACAAACCTGCATGTGACACTCAACTCAACAAAGTTATCAGAAAAAAAGGTACAGATATACCCGCATCAGGAAATACGCGATCAATAAAATTTATTCATTTTATTGCGGACAGCAGCAAAGAACCGCCATGATCATTAGTTGGCTGTCACTCGAGGAGCTAAACCAGCAGTTCCTGAACTTTTTGTGGCTCGCAGAGCTCTTTTTAAAATTAATTTCTGTGGCGGAGCCCCCTTAGGCTTCTACTTTATGTCTTACGAGTTAATTGTGTACCGTAATAGTGCTAGAAATAGGGGAAAGAAGAGTGGACAGATAGCAAAATAAAGAAAAGATATATCTAAAAAATATATATAATGATATAGAAACATCTTTTAGTAATTATACAAACGCTGCATGTATTTTACTTACATCATTCAGGTATAGTTTTATTAGATATAAAACAAAGATCTAAATTATTAAGAAATCCTTTCATTATTTTTCATTTCTTCAGGTTGTTAAACAGTTAAAGACTGATTAAACTGGGAATATAAAGCTTGAGGTGGTGCAAAATTTCTGAAAAAAATAAAGATAAGTACGAACCCTTCGGTGCTAATGTAATGAACAGGAAATAAAATGAGAGAAATATTTAAACAAAGTACGAATTGCTGGCACAGAGTACACATGTTACAAATAATATCAATTTATAGTAGTAGATATTTCAGTATTGAAATATTTTGAAATATTTATGTAATTAAAGTACAAAATTTAAAATTCAGACTAGTATTAAACAAAATAGAGGTTCTTAGGAACCGACTACATCGAATATCTGAATAGAGATACGGTCATGATTTTTCACTATTAGATGGAGTGAAAATACTTTCAAAAATTTCGAACAGTATGAACAATTTATTAATTGAGTTTCCCAGTGGCCTGTATTGCAGGCATTTTCTCAGCAATTTTTTGAACAATGTTCGTTAAGGACAGTCCATTAAACCCAGCGGCCGAGCGGAGAAATCGCTGAACACTGGTAGTTATGACCTGAGTTCGATTCCATGCGAACGGGCTCGCTACATGGGCGTTTTATTAGTCTTCCTCATGTATAATATATATATATATATATATATATGTAATATTAAAAACACAAGGAAAATGAAAAAAAGAGACGGAGCAGTTGTCGATGCGTGCTTAGATTCATATTGATGAAGAAGAATTTTGATTGCGTAGTATTTAAAGATTGGCAGTCGAGGCAGTTTTAATTCCATTTTTATTTCCAATTGATATTTGTGGCCACAATCACTTGGCACTCTAGTCGTGCCTTTCCACAGAAGATTTACATTTTTGATATTGTTGAGATAGAAAGCAAGCCAGCAAAATCACATCTTAGCACAGTAGCGAGCAAAAGCTGAAGTACGTAGTTATGAAAGATGGAAGCACGCGAAGAGAAAAGTTTTGGTTTACAATTCGGTGATTGGTCGTCAAGAGGCATATGGTATTAACGGTTACGTAAGATCGCATGATTAATTTGAATGACGCAATGCAGATAAGTTATTATGATTTTGAATAGAGAGAAGAATTAATTTATAGTTATTTATAATTCTGATATTTTTTTACTTATATTCCCCCTCAAAAAAAAGCGTACGCGAACCTTTTAAAGAAGATTCAAGTATCAATGTTAAAAAAAAAAAAAAAAAAAAAAAAAAACCAAAAAATAAGCAGCACCGAACGTTCCGAAAACGTTCAGAGTCCGTGTCATATCGTTCTATAACGGTGTTAGGTGTATTTAGAACGTTCTACATAACGTGCTAAAGTGGTGCGTGTAACAACCGTGTATTTAATACGTACATTTCAACGTACAACACTGGTACTTTTCGAAACGTTCTCAACATGTGCTAGAAAATACGTTCTAAACGACGTGCTAAAGCGGTGCGTATTATAACCGTGTTCTTAAAACGCACATTTCAACGTACAATCCTGGTACATTTCGAAACGTTCTCAACATGTACTGGGAAAAACGTTCTAAATTACGTGCTAAAACGGTGCGTATTATAACCGTGTTCTTAGGACGTATATTTCAACGTACAACACTGGTACTTTTCGAAACGTTCTCAACATGTGCTAGAAAATACGTTCTAAACGACGTGCTAAAGCGGTGCGTATTATAACCGTGTTCTTAAAACGCACATTTCAACGTACAATCCTGGTACATTTCGAAACGTTCTCAACATGTACTGGGAAAAACGTTCTAAATTACGTGCTAAAACGGTGCGTATTATAACCTGTGTTTTTAGGACGTATATTTCAACGTACATTCTGGTACTTTTCGAAACGTTCTCAACATGTGCTATGAAAAACGTTCTAAACGACGTGCTAAAGAGGTGCGTATTATAACAGTGTTCTCTCAGAACACATATTTCAACGTACAACACTTATACTTTTTGGAACGTTCTGATCATGTGCTAAAGTACGTTCTACAGGACGTGGTAAAGCTGTGCGTATTATAACCGTGTTCTTCGGACATGCATTTTAAAGTACAACACTGGTTTTTTCGAAACGTTCCCAGACATACTATAAAGTACGTTCTGCATGATGTGCTGAAGAAGTGTGTGTTACAACTATATTCTTATAACGTACATTTAGAAATACAATACTGGTATTTTTCAAAACGTTCTCAGCATGTGCTATAGGCCCCCAGCGGCCGAGCGGTAAACTCGCTGGATACTGGTAGTTCGGTCCGAGGTTCGATTCCCGCGAACGGGCTGGCTGCATGGGCGCTTTCGTGGTTTTCCCCATGTGTAACGTGTATACGAGCCAATTTCCTTAGGAAGCCCTCCAGGAAGGCATCTCCCTTCCGTGTAGTGCCTAAGAGCGAAGCACGTTAATAAAAAAAAAATGTGGTATAAATTACTTTATACATGACACGCTAA